CAACTCTGGCCCTTGGGCTTAGCGGAACCACTGAGCTAAATCCCTGGCCCCCAACTTGATGATTTTAAACTGATGGTAACTGAGACATAGAAAAGGCAAGAAAGGTGCTCTGCCCCACGATTTCTTCCCAAAGACAGAAGCTTCCCATGAAAGCAAGGTGCCTTCCCTCTCCTAGAAAGGATGTTCTTATTACTAGAGACAAGTATCAAAACAGACTTTCAGAACCATCCTTTGTCTTTCATTCGTCCTCATATATTTCCTAGTCACTTTGCCATCCATACCTCTAGCTCCAGCCCCCTATTTCTTTTTTGGTACCCGGGATCGAACTCAGGACCTTACACTTGCAAGGCAGGTGCTGGAACCCCTGGGCTAAATCCCCAGCCCCCTCCAGCCCCCTATTTCTTAGTCTCATTGCATCTGCGTAAGTTATCACTCTTTGTTAAAGTGATATGTAACACTGGGTCTGAATGTTTCTTTCAGGTCTTTTCCTTTTCTTTCTTTCTTTCTTTCTTTCTTTCTTTCTTTCTTTCTTTCTTTCTTTCTTTCTTTCTTTCTTTCTTTCTTTCTTTCTACAAAGTTCCTTATGCCACATAAAAATACTGACAGCAAATTAAACTTGTATACTTTTTTGCCTGTTAATCTGTCTTTTATCAGTTCAGTTTGCAGTTTCTAGCCTTAAAACCTAAAAGGGTAGGGGAGTCTTCCTTTATGCTGCACAAGATCAAGCAGGACATAGAGAGAGCTGCATCCCACTCCAGGGAGGAGAAGGACATCAGTATGATGTGCTCTGTCCTGTCAAGTGATCACACACATGTCAACTGCGAAGGCAGCCTCAGAGGAACGCAGGGTGGTATTCCAGTATGCCCACAAGGTAGCTTCCCAGGTGTTTTATCTCAATGTGCCCCAAGCCCCCATGCACACAGAAGTAGGGGTTCTAGAAGGTGACTGGACCATGGATTAGTGCCAAATTGCTGTCAGGAGGTGCAGTCTGGTCTGGAAGGAAGAGGTGGGTCACTAGGGGGCGTGGCCTGGAAAGGTGCACTTAACCTCCCTCTATCTTCTCTCTCTGCTTCCTGTCCACCATGAGGTTAGAAACTTCCCTCCGCCCAGACCCTTCCACTAGGTACTGCTTTAGAGGCAACCATGCAAGGACTGCAATTTCTAAAACATGAGCAAAAATAAACCTTTCCTACTTCATGTTGCAGGTGTTGGATATTTTGTCCCAGTAGTGAGGAAAGTGACTCAAAGAGAAGTGGCAATAACTTTTAAGGGGGCTTTACTTTAAGCTTCTATGTTTCTGTGCCTTGTGTCATAATAATTTGGTAAAATTATTTGTCATAATAATTTGGTAAAAAGTCAGACAGTGTTAGTAAATATAATGGTGTAGAGTAAAATTGACCATAGAATATATTAAAATATTCAAGTAAAATTGTAGTTACAAGCAGGTTTAACCATCAGGAGATGGGGGTACAGGGCAGAGAAAACAACATACGCCAAAAGTAGAACTAAAACTAAATATACGGAGGGAAAATGGGCTGTTTAACATTACCTGGGGCTCGTACAATAGAACAGGCATCACACACATAGTTCTTTGCTACTTTGGGATTACAGAAGCATTTTCTGTTTGCATATCCTTGAAAGAAAATAAATTAGGCTTTGAATTATCACCAGAGAAGGATTTGGAAGGACAAAGAAGGCATCCTAGAACCCCCAAATCACTCCCAGACTGCAATTATGTGGAAACACAGGAAAATGACTACGTAGGACTCACACAGGACTCATGACATTGGGCAGTTAGTCCTCTGTGGCCACTCACTGAAGAACAGTCGAGCACAGAAGATGAACCACAGAAAAACCTGAAAGAAAACAGACACAACAACAACAAAAAGTGATGGAGAATTTGTTTGGAAATCTATGGCAATAGCTATCGTAAGGATATTTGAACTTCATGAAAACTGCAGTCCACAGACCTATTGTTTCTCCATGGATGTGGCAGCTACTTAGTAGAAATAAACGAATTTCCAGTACTTGTCTCATCTTGTGCTCTCCCTCTTCGTAATCTGAAAGAAATAGGTCTTAGCGTGGGTGGTGACCACTGCATCCTTTAATGGCACTGTAATGGCACTGGGATCTCAGCAGTCATGGCGCCAGTGCTCCAGCTAAACCTCTCCAGTTTTGTTTGTCAAGAAAGGGCAAGACCATCTGGAGGAAGAAAGAGCAGATTGTCAACAAAAGCAAGAGTGACTTCATTTTTATTGGCTCAAGCCAACAGCTCTGTTACATAAATAAGTTGGAAATCGTAGTTTTGAAATAGAGTAATAGACTTTTCTTTGTACCGTGGATCGAACTTATAGGCGGAGGAACCACTGAGCTAAATCCCCTGCCAAAGATAGACTTTTAAATGAAGGAATACTTTAGAAGTAAATTAGTTTAACTTCATCATTTTATAGATGAGCAATCTGAGACAGACAGTGTCTCAAAGACAAAAGTTAATAGCAAAGCTAAGATTAGCGCTCAAATCAGTACATTTCTCAAGAAAATATTCAGATAAACTGGTATGAATTGTAATGTATGAACTCATGAAATGGAGAAACTAGAGATCTTTAAATCTAGAAAGGGAAAGATTTAGGAACATAAACATTTTCAAATTCCTAGACGATGGGTACATAGGAAAAAGCTTGAATTTACTTTCTTGGCTGGAGGAAACAAGCAAGATTGTAGAGATCTTGGAGGGAACATTTTAACAGTTTAATACTAGATAAAACCTGTAAACAGTCAAAATTGGCCAGAACAATCTGTTGGAGGATAGTAGGTTTTCTGTCACTGAGGCATTTCAGAATAGACTGGAAAATAATTCAATGCAAAATGCAAAGAGGAGGAATGGGGTAAAGGGTGTGGAGGGGAGAACTCAGGCATGAAAATAATTTGGATGGGGTGACCTTTAGGAAGATGTGATTCTTTACAACCTGGGACCAAATAAGGGTTTCATTCTTGCCTCTGAACTCTAAAACCTATCTTCCTATCTGTTTGCAATAGTTTAAATTTTAATCTATTTCATATTTCAGGGTATTATGCCCTGAATATTTGATTTGAATGCTATGGCAGAAGGTCACTCATATTCATTTATTTTCTTTTACTCTTATACACTGGCAGTAAGTCTTTTGAATTCATTATGCAAACACATGCAAATCATATGCAAATGGCGTGGCTTCAGAAAATGACAAAATCTTGGGGCCTTAACCGAGCCATCAAACCTTTCTTTCAATAGGGAAGTAATATGCTTTTTCAATGTTTCTAGGCCAGGAGATGAATTCCTGAGAGTGGTATTTACACAACACTGGAATTGGTGACACAGAGGAGTTTCGGCTGCGCATTCTTCATATTTATGTAGTGCTTTAAGGTTAAGAAAGCATTTCCCCATGTATGAAGCCATTTGATTCTCATAATTACCTTGTGATATAAGTAGAACAGGGATTACAACTCTGCTTCTCAGATGGGGAACTGGGAAGTGAAATGGTCACTCCGTTGGTGAGCAATGGGATCTGAAGCTTAGAACCACAGCCCTTCTCCTCCCCCACACCATGCCGATGCTTTCTCACAGCAAGGTGGCCTGTCACTAGCCTGCATTTGCTTAGACTATATTTTGCCAGCAGCATCTTCAGAGATAATTTTATCAATGAGTATAATATCTTGAGGGTGACCACAAAAGCCTAAATATTTACAAAAGCCCTAACATAGTGTCAAGTACATAGTTTCTCCAAGCCCCTTTGCTTTTTTAGCATCTGCTCTAGAGTCTCCAGATGAAGAGTATTCTTCACCCCATCTTCCCTTTGGCTGCTTTGGGAGGTCAACTTCCACGGAGAGAAGAAGCACAATCTTTGCAGGGAGACTGTAAGTTTGAAGTCCTAATCCATACTTTCTGTTCTTATGGCCTTGGGGGGGGTCATTTAATTTTTCTCAGTATTTCTTTCTGTAACTATAAAATCAAAGAGTTAATAAGACCTCTTTTATAGCACATCAGGAAATATTCCTGGATGGGATAGGATAATGTATAGAAAACAAAATAAAGCCTGAGCTGGTGTCTGACATATAGTAAGTACCCAATAAGTACAATAAAAGGTAACTACTATAATCATCCTATGGGTGGTAATAATACTATGCAGTGCCCATAGTACCTGAAGGCACTGTGAACTCTGAAACTAAGAACAGGGTGCTTGGAAATGGACTGGGAGCATAGTAACACCAAGTATCTCCCATATGCCAGATAACTATCTGCACGCACACCAGACAAGGTCTGAGGTAGCTAAAGCAAGCCCATCAAGGACATGTTTCCACTTTGACTTTCTTTAATCACTACCACATCTTGTACCATGATGAAGGTAATTACAGTCCTGCTTCAGAGATATCTCTGAGAAGGGGTAGAGTTGAGGCAGGCTTCCTTGGCAGGCTGTTTCATTTGTACTTGAAGTGTTAAGCAAACAGAGGAGGGAACAAAAAGGAATCCCACCTACCCTGCCTTAACAGGCCAGAATCCCCAGATGGAGAAAAAAGAATCTTCTTCCTGCACAGAGACCAGACACAGGGACAGCACAGAGAACCCAGGCAGCAGTTCAAGGATCAGGCACACTATTTGCCTCTGTTTCCAGTTCACAGCATCTCCGCAGCCCTTCCATCTGCTCGCACAGAGCTGTCCTGCCACCATGCCCCACCAGCCCTCCCAGTCACTCACCTAGGACAACTAAAGAAGGGGCCTCCTGTGTGAGTGCAGCCTCGGGGAAAGGACTAGAAGCTGCCGGAGCAGACCAAAAACCTGAGGCCAGCACAGAGCCAGTCAGTTTCACCACACTGAGACTGAGAGGGCTACACAACCAATTCTTGTTTGCCTGGAAGTGAACTGGGCCATCCTGGGGCTGGGTCCACAGTTATTTTTGGCAAACATGGTTGATATGCAAAAGGAACTTCCCTTTTATGCAGCACAGAGCCACTAAAGGCTGAGCAGTCCGTGCATTTCTTGTACCAAGATCACCCATCTGAGTACATCTCTGGCTGGAAAATTGCTGGGGTCATCAGAGCCCGATTGAATCACTCAACTCCAAGCATTAGATCATCATGCTGAGCTGCAGTTGTACCGGACCTGGGATGGCTCCTGCTGTCAGCTGCTACTTTTTGGTGGTGCTTCTTTCAGCCAGCTGTGAAGTTGTCACCTCCTCAGATCAGATGTGCATCGAGGTGAGTCCAAACTGACTTTCTCCAGATTCAACTTTCTGAGAAACTCAAAGTTCAGCATGCTGTCTTCTTTGAGCCTTGGCATTTCAGTATCCACTGTCTTTGACAGGATAGTGAGAACTTTGTCGTTATCGTGAAAAGGGAACCAAAGAGCTCAGCCATACAAAGGTCTGATAGCATCTTGTGCAAAAGATTCCCCCAAAGCCACCCCAATTGAGACTGCCAGGTCAACAGAGGCTCATGCAAGGAGCAGACCCCCAAACCTCCCTCCTAATCTTATCCACCATCTCAGCACAGGGCCATTCCCCAGATAGTTCTTTGACTTCCTGGATCTCTGTTGAAGATTAGTAAAGAAAGGCCATGCCAGGTTTCAGAGCACAGATCACTTTGAATGAGTCTGGCTTTCTCTTCCACTTGGACAGCTGTCCATCTGTTTGACTGACCATAGGAGTAAAACCAGAGTAGAGCCAAATAAAACCTTCTGTTTGGGGCTAAAATGATATTTATCAACCTGTGGGAAGTCCTTGGAGTGGATAGAGAAAGAAAAAGGAGAAGGGCTTCTTTGACCACCTTCAGCCTTTCTCTCACTGTTTCCACATAGCCGGCCCGGCAAGGGCCACAGGCAGGAAGGACCACCAGTCTTGATGGTTTGGTGAGCTTCTTTCCTAGGCTGGGACTGAAGGAAGGGTCAGAGCCAGGGCAGCAAGATGAAGAATGACCCTGGGACAGTAGCTGGGCAGAAATCAGGAGAATGATCTAGAGCAGAGTGGAGACTTGCCAGACAAAGGCATAACCAAAGCCAAGACTGGAATAAGGCCTGGAACGGAAACCAGCAGAACCTTATTAGTCTGGTGTTTGGAAAAAATCAGGATGTCTTCAGACTGAGAAGATGTGAATGCCCAGGGCAAATTAAGGCTGGGATGGTATATTCGTTTTTCAGGCCTCCACAACAAAGTACAGGACTGGGAGGTTTAAACAACATAAATTTATTCTCTTATAGTTCTGAAATCTGAGCGCCAACTGTCAGCAAGGTTGATTTCTCCTGAGGCCTCTCTGGCTTGTAGATAGCCATGCTCTCCTTGTGTCCTTGTACCATTCTCACCATGAGTGGCTGTGACCTATATTCTTCTTGTAAGAACACCAGTCATATAGGCTTAGTGCCTTGTGCCTTTGATTGAAGGGGTTTGGCCCTTTCCCAAATTCAAGTCACTCTCGCTATACTCACCCCTCCCCTTGCTTTCTTTTTCCCTTCCGTTTTTTCCCTCCAGCTCAAGCATAATTAACCACACACCCTACCTACGTTCATGTGACAGAGCACCAGGACCCTATGCAGCCTATCCAGAAAACAAGGGCTTGCTTTGTTTTGAGTTTAGCAAAATTTTGTTGAAGAGAAACATACATGTGGAAATTTCACAGTTCTTAAATGTGCAGTTGCAGGCCCTGGCAGCAAGTGAACACATTCGTGCAACCAACATACAAATCAGAGCGCAGAAGACGCTTATCACCTCAAAAGCCCTCCTCAGGCCTCCTCTTTGTCCCTAGACATCTAATCCTCTGACTTCTATTGTCATGATTGTTTTTGCTCAGTTTTAAACTTTATCCACCTGGGATCATACAGTGTGTACTTCTTTTGTGCCCGGCTTCCTTTGCTCAACATTAAATCTGTGAGACTTATTGATGATCTAGGCAGCAGGCATTTGTTCATTCTCATCGCTGAATATAGCACTTTCGCATTGTGAACCACCATTTATTTATCCATTTGACTCGAAATGGAGTCTTCTACTTTCGCAGTTTGTGGCTATTATGAATGCTGCTGCTTGGGACAGTGTAATCTGTTTTTTAGTAAACAAATTGTACAAATCTCCATTAGATATCTTCCTAAGAGTGAATATATTTGGTCATAGGCTATCCATATGTTTAAATGTCTAACTGTGATTGAGTTTTCCAAACTGTTGATACCAGTTCACACTCATCAGAAATTTACCTGATCGTTCTGATCGTTCCACAGCCTCATCAACAGGTATTATTGTTTCTTTTTAAATGCTAGTCTTTCTGATTGGTAAGTAGTAGAATTTTTTTCCTGATGAATAATAAATCGAGTGTATATGCATACTCTTGTCTGCCTTTTGCACACATACCCTTTTTGTGTGGTGATAGGTATTAAACCCGGGACTTGCAGCATGCGAGGCAACCACTGTGCCACTGAGCTACAGCCAGCTTGACATTCCCACTTTTATGCCTGTGAAGTTTCTGTTCAAGTCTCTTGCCCATTTTCTTTTTTGACTGCTTTAATTTATAGTAATTCTTTATTTATTAGGGATAAAAGTCCTTTATCAGATTTCAAATATTTCCCCCCATTCTTGGCTTATATTTTCACTCTCCCAAAGGCATTTTTTTTTTTTTTGCTGAACAGAAGTTTTTAATTTTCTAACAGCACAATGCATAATTTTTCCTTTACTTTCTTTGCATTTCAGTTCTGTTTAAGAAGTCTTTGTCTACCCCAACACTATTATGATATTATCCCATGATTTCATTTAGAAACTTTATTGTTTCATATTTATTTATGTTTCCCATTTAGATCTACAATCTAGCAGGATTTTTTTACATATATGTTAAGTATGAGCCAAAATTATTTTTTATTAAAAATGTGTTTAAAAATGTTCAGATTTATCCATAAGTTGTAAGATATTACGATGAATATTCAAATACCTCCCACCGCTAAATGCTACATGTTCTGTGTGTATGTGTGTGTGTGTTGTGTGAAGCAATAAAACTACAGAGGCATGACCAAGTCTTTAGAGACTGCAAAATATCCCGAGAGCAGTGGAAAACAGTGCTCTGTGGTTTGGACTGTGGGATATTTTAGGTGAACTCTTGAATAGTTTCCTGGGAGTGTGAGCAGCCTCCCATTTCAAATTGGCTCATCCTAGCCACCCTGTCCCTGCAAACTATGGTAGGAGAAAGTTCTTCAGTCCCTAGGTATGGGGTGGTTGTGCTTAGTGGAGCTGTTTTGAGAACTCCAAGTTCATGCATGCAAGGGATCCCAATAGCTTTAGATAACAATGTGACATTGTGATGATCCCGGTATATACTAACTCCTTTTAGGTAGTACAGATACACCGGTTTATTAATCCTCACAGTAGGCCTTCAGAGTAATTTTTTTAGCCCCAGTCTGTAGCTGGGTAAAAAGGAGGCTCAATGAACATAGCTAGGGCTTAAGAACTGGGACTTGAACCCAAGCAGGCTGACTGGAAAAACAAACAGAAAATAAAATGCCTTCGGCCTAGAGGACTCAGATCGACAACAATGTTTTAAAGATGTGCCTTCTTCTTTTTTTGTTTTCAAAGAGCAATCCTTGCTCTGGGATTCAGCTTGCTAGTCAAATTGCTGTCTTCTAGATGAGGTGCGATCTGGCGGCCATCGTCCCAGACTCCTCCTTTGGGCATGCGTGTGTCAAGTGCTGATGAAACATCTGCAAAGGTGGGAATGAGCAGTTGGAGTGAAATTCAAAGGTTTCCAAATTAGAAAGTGTTTCAACACTTGCAAGGAGGGAAAATGCAGTGGGATGGGAGGGAGTTAGACGCCGCAGAAAGAAGAAAAGAAAATCTTGATTGAAAAAATGCAAATGAGTACCTGGAGGGAGAAGGGACTGCAAATAAAGATGCAGCACTGAGGGAGCCCTGCTGGGGGAAAGGCCCTGCTCCAAGACCCAGCTGGAGACACAGTGGCTGCACAGGAGCCCGTGCACGGGGGGGGTGGGGCGGGGGGGGGGGGGGTCCTAGGCAGGTGCCCCTTGACTTGGGGTGGGTTGTCATGACTACCACATGGCCTCACCACAGCTGCAGGCTGCAGGAGTTCACATCAAGATGCCGCTGAGGCAGAGGCATGCAAAATCATCTCCGGAAACTGACCACATATCAACTCCAGAAAGACAAGGCTGGGGTCAGAGGAAGTGTTTGTGTGGAGCTCAGGGAAACTGCAACATGGTGGATTTCTGCCTGCAGAAAAACCAAAGCTTATGGTCCAGGCAGTAGCCACGGTATCTGTTCCTTTCTGCCTCTTGTTCTTTTATTCTCTACAACATTATCTCTCTGCTCTTCTGCAGCCCTTCGCTCTGCTATCAGAACTCACTCTGAATCCTGAGAGGGAGAAAAGTACAACCTTACTACTGTAATATTTCTAACAAAAACTTGTGACCTGTGTTCGGGATGTAGCTCAATGGTAGGGCACCTGCTTACCATGCACAAGGCAATCCTTGGTACTAAAAACCAAAAACCAAATAAAAAATATATAATCTGGATCAAATATGAGAAAACATACAACCCCCAATGAGAAACATTCTGCTAATTACAAGCTTGTATTCTTCAAAAGATATCAATGTCTTGAAACACTGAGGAGTCGTCTCAGTTTAAAGGAGTCTAACAAGATAATGAGAACTGAGTGCAACACGTGATCCTCACTGGAAAAACAAAAATTACAGTAAAGGACAATATTGGGACAATTGGCAAAACTGAATATAGACCCTGCAGTGGATGATATCAGATCAAGTTTAAATATTGGAGATTTGACAATGGCAGTGTGATTGTCATTTTGTTTAGCAGATATAAACTGAGAGGTGTTTAGGGGTGAGCACTCATCGGATCTACAATTTACCCTCCACCAAAAGGGATGAGAATAACCATGTACTCGTGTATAGTTCCAGCCTTAGAATAATACATAAAACAATGCAATGGTTCTTAGATGCTTCTGGAATGCATGCTGCTCTGATGTCCGCATCACCACGGCAATTTTGATTGTGCTATAGTGATTGTCCAAACTGCAAGGGAAGGGCTATGTGTGCATCGAACACAAGATTTTCCGAAAAACATGTTCGTTTTTTAAATACTCTTCACTACATTTATTTTTCTTTTTTGGTGCCGGGAATCAAATTCGGGACCTTGCACTTGTCAGGCAGGTGTGGCACCACTAAGCTAAATCCCCAGCCCTCTTAGCTACATTTTTGTCATTGCCTCTTTCTCCTACATACCCAGGGCCAAGGATTAATTACCATTTCTGCCTAATTTGAGATTATTTAACTTTGTTCTCAGGCTCCAGTGGGCTTCTTGAGAACACTCCTTGGTAGAGTCAACCACTAGACCTCAGTTATTGCTAGGTTGAAACCGCCCATTCATCTACCTGTATTTCCTTTTTCAAGAAGCCCCCTCAGGCCACAGGCTCAGAAGAGCTCCTCCTGGATTCTCAACTCGCAGAATTACATTAGTGTAGTTAATGTGCTTACTTAAACACACAAGAGGCTGAGACATGGAATAATTTAGGTGTCACAGGGACTTACATTTTCAGCAGGAGGAGGGAATCACCAGCATCGAAGTCTATTGCTGTAGGGCCAGAATAGAGCAAGACAAATGGAGGAAAGTCCTCTTTCGCCAAGTGTGTGTGAAATCAATTATGTCAAGGGAGACCAGGAAAAGAAAACTCTCCTCAGAGCAAATTGGCACCTTAGCAAATGTGGGCCCAGCAGCTCCGCCTCTCTGCGCGGTCCGAGTTCAGGGGCACCAAGGACAGGTCTGGCGGCATGTCAGCTAAATCCAAGTTTAAATGCCACGTGTGTGTTTCAAGGACATTATGTGGATTTGTGGCAGTGCCTAGAGGACTCTGGGTCTATAAAAGCGAAGAATGAATTACACGTAAACATAAATATGACATTTTCATCAGTGACAGTTATAATATTGTCACAATATTGAAGAAAACCCCTGGTATTCTGTAGATAAGCATACTTGCTGAAGCTACAGAAAAGTGTACCACTAAGCAGAAATTAGAGTAAGGCAGAAAAAAAAAAAAAACCCGATGACAATAGCAACATCTCTGCATACTCACACTTTAGAGTGAAGGAGGTTGTGTGCAGTCCTGCTTTTACCTAAGTAGGTCTGTTTGCAACTCAGCACAAGGTAAGCTGTCATGGGCTTGGTGGAAGAGGTTTGTCAGGCTGGGCAGTTTCAGAGGGGTTCCACTGAGGCCAAAAGTGATCAGGGAAAAAGCAGCCCTGGAAGTTTGGATGAACCCACCTGGGGCCTGAGATGAACTGCAAGCTGGGCCCATGGTTCTGGGTCCCCATGATCTTGTACCTCGCCCTGGAGATCATTTCTTTCTCTCTGAGGAGCCTGTCCAGGCAAGATACTCCATTGCACCTGCCCTTCATCCAGATGAATACGGCCTTAGTGTTCTTTAGTCTTCTTGTGATAGCCAACCTGACTCTAGTTGTGTACCTGGCTCCATTTGTGTTAAGTGGTGTAATTCTGGGCGGGAGTCCCTTCGCTGTGGAACAGAGACCTCATCCTGTGTGAGTCTGCAACTATGTTATCTTTACTGCCTTGTAAACAGAAGACTCCCCACCTGTGTGATTCTTTCTTTTAACTAAACTGCCCTGACCCTCACTAGTTAGCAAAGTTCTGCCCCTGTGAAACTCCACTTATGCTCCACCCCCTCCCTGAGCCCTCCCCAAACAGAAGACCCCTTAAAGGGACCCTGCAAACTGCCTTTCCTTTGTTCAGTCTTTTTGGCATGAGCCACTCTGGATCAGCCAGCTTATAATAAAGGATTCCATTTAATTCAGAGTGTGGCGCATCTCTATAGTTCTAACGCGCCTGGCCCTATAACGTTCTAGCCAAACACTTTTCATTTTTACCTAATCAAAGATCTAGACTTGAGTTGGGACACCTACTAACATAGGGGGAAGAGTTGTATTTCCCAAAACTTGCTAGATATCAAAAATTCAAGTTCATGATCTCTAAAACTGAAGAAGGAATTCTAGGAACAACAGAGGTTGAGTCCAAAAAATTTATTGAGGGAAAGATAGCTTCTGTCTAAGAGAGACAGAGGGAGACTGCAAAGTGGGTTGCCCAGGAGACCATGTTTTCCAGAGGGTTTTTATGAAGCAAAGCCAGGAGCTGAAGCAGGTTTGAGGTGGGACAAAGATATACTCAACTAGTAAGATTACAAGTACAGTTGCTTAGATAATATTGATCCAATGGGAAATTAAAAGGTGGGGATGAGGAGGAGCAACACTGGATCAACCAATAAGATTACAGGTATAGTCACTTAGGTGATATTGATTAAATGGGGGATCAAAAAGGGAAGCAAGTCTTGTAGCTACCCTACAGGGAATGAACATGAATTTTCAGTGAGGGATGGGTCAGGGACCTATCCTGAAAGGGGTGGCTTAAGGTCTTAGTTCCACACCCAGGTGATTGATACATAATTAGAATATCGATCACTGCCATTTATCCCTTTTTATAATCCTACCAGTGTAAGTGCCTCAACTGCTTTTCTATTCTGAGGGCCCATCTCTGTCTGACTGCCTTATAGTAACTTCTAGTTTAGCTACTTATAATACTATTGATCAAGGAAATGATTTCTGAGCAGAAGAAGCCTGTGCTGCCCCTAACTGGGTAGTAAACAAAAGGCTCCTCCTAGCTCCAAGCCCTCTTGCACCTAAAACATGTGCAGGCATTTGGACGTTTTCCTCCATTGTCCTTTGTTTCAGAGCTTCTGTGACCCCTGCTTCCCACCACTGTACAAAAGGTGAATCCTAGTGTACCTTTCCATCCAGTTGTATAAGCTGAATATATCTACCTTGACTAATGCACTGATGTTGAGTGTCTTGCCCCTGTATCTCCACCCCGCCTTTCCCAAATCTATATAAACCCTGTTCACCACCCAGATGGATTAATCACTTGGCAGTAAAGTCCCCGATCATTCTGCTAGCAAAGTAAACCTCCCCTCAATTTGTAGGGTGTGTTCTCGATTCTTCTCAGCCTGACTCTGTTATACCACCTAAAGCTGCAGCACTATAAGTTGTATTTGCTACAATACTACCAAGCAATAATTGTCGCACCTCTGAATCCTTGGCTACATTGGGCACTGGAGGAGTAATTCCTCTGTATGGGGCTGTGGCCAAAGGCCTAGCATCTGATATGCACAGCCTACAAATCCAGAGCTCTGAAATTAATACATTAAGATTGTAAGACCTAAGGTCTGTGCCACCTTGTTAGTTTCTTAAACTCTGTGTTAAGAAAATTTGTGAACATATACAAAATAGTCAATTAAAGAGATCCTCTAGGTATGCAACGCGGAGTATTCAACACCCAGCAGCATTTTGCCTACTGTCTGTCCACCCCCTCCTTTTCTGCCAGAGTACTTTAAAGCAAGCCCAAACCAATGTCATTTTACCTTGGAAAAACTTTAGTATACATCCCAAAACAATAAGAACATTTCTTCTACATAACTGCAAGGCCACTAACAATACAAGATTCAAAACTTCTCTTTCTTTTTCTTTCTCTACACCCACTCCCCCTGCACTACTGGGGATCGCACCCAAGGACTTCCCCTGCAGCTACTTCCCCAGCCCTATTTATATATATTTTTTGGTCTTTTCAGACAAGATCTTGCTAAATCACTAAAATGCCAGGCCGAGCTTGAAATTGTGATCCTCCTGCCAGTGCTGAGCACACATCATAATTTCTCAATAGCATCCAATCCTGTTCTCAAAGTTCTCGACTATCCTTAAGGTATCTTTTCCTAACTGCTTTATTTGAATCAAAACAGAAAGGGCTGTTCTGTTCTGTGTTGGCTGTCTCTTAAATAGCTTTTATTTTTTCCTTTTTTTTGGGGGGGTACCGGGGATTGAACTCAGGTCCTTATGCTTGCAAGGCAGGCCACCGAACCACTGAGCTAAATCCCCAGACCTTAAAAAGATTTTAGATCTTTGTCTCTTTTAACAAAAGCTGCCCCTCAAACTGGTAAAACATTCGTCTTATAAAACACCCCACTTTCTGCCTTTGGCTGGCTGCTACCTTGTGCCTTGTGGTTGTGTTTAACTTAAACTTGCCACGCTTGTAAACATGAAGTTAGGCTGACAGTCTTGATTGGATTCAGGTTTAATTTTTTAAGCACATCAAAAAATACATGTGTAGCTGAGCATGGTGGCACACACCTGTATTCGCAGCACTTGGGAGGCTGAGGCAGGAGTATCGCTGCAAGTTTGAGACCAGCCTGGGCTATACAGTGAGTTCCAGAGCCGTCTGAACTACATAATGAGACCCTGTCTCAAAAAATAAAACCCAAAAAAAAAAAAATCAACAAAAAGGACATGTGTGATTGTCTTATTCTGGTAATGCTGATGTAGGGTTATTTGTTTGCTGCTTTCCTAAGGGAAATTAAAGCATTTCCATGCATCCAGAAGGAAAACCATAAACCAAAATATATTCAGAGAAGTCTCGTTTCCATCATGGTTCTTATATGTTGTCCCTTCTCTCACTAGAAACGTCATTTGTGTGTGTGTGTGTGTGTGTGTGTTTTGTTGTTTTTTTTTTACCTTGGACTCATTTAGATAGTAGGAAAAGGGAGACAGACCATGCTAAATGGTGAAGGATTGGAGGAGATGGAGCGAGGGGAGGGGAGGGGGAAGTACAAATGATCCAGTGTGATTTGTACATGTGCCAATCCCCCACTATGAAAGCATTTCTATGTACAGTGAATATATTATAATAAAAGAGGGAAGAAATAAAATACAAGCATACCAATAAGTAGCACACTGTGTACTCTAAACAGTCTATATACTTTGCTGTTTTCACCTTACAGTGTGTCCCGATAGCCCCACATCAGTGTATGCAGACCTTCCTCATTCCTTCTGCAGTTTCTGAGGTTTCCACTTTGTGAATGTGCTACATTTTGGTCAGCTAGCCTTATATATCAATGGTCATTGTCAATCTTTTTCTACTACAAAAAATACTATACTGAGCAACATTGTGCAGAGTCATTTTGTGTTTTTACAAGTGTAAATCACTAAGGGTAGAATTGCTGCTCAAAGGGAAAACATATCTCATATTGCTAGTCAATCAGTTACTGAATCCAATATTCATATTGTTTCTCCCATCAGAAAAAAACCAACAAAATATATAACTGCGAAAATTTGGATCTCAGTGAAGTTCCTGACACGCTACCAAACACAACAGAATTTTTGGAATTCAGCTTTAATTCCTTGCCCACAATTCAAAATACAACCTTCAGGAGACTCATAAACCTTATCTTTTTGGATTTAACCAGGTATGTATGTGAGTTCCTTGTGGGCTCTGGATTTTTCACCTAAGTTAAAACACATACACGCGTATGTGTACACACACACACACACACACACACACACACACACACACTGGATTTTAATTGATTCCTGGATCTTTTGGATGCAAGGACACTCTGCTTGTCCTGCATGTTCATTTACCCTTTCCCATGAAATAGTTTGTACTAATGAAATGTGACTTAAATAAACACCAGTCAATGCAAAGGAAGGTTGATTGTTCTCAAACTAGCTGTGTTAGCAGTGCTGTTTAAGAAGTTCTAAGTAGTATCAATAAGGAAACTAAAAATAAATGTTATCCTAAATCAGATGCCACATTATACCACATTTTGGCATAGAGGGCCATTATCAGGTCTTGACAGTCAGGAAAAAAGTTCCAGGAGAAATACGCTTACTAATTTTTTTTTCTTTTTCCAAATTGGAAAAGGATTTCCATTATTTGGCTTCAATAGCAGAATCAGGATTCCAAATGCTGAACTAGTACTTGAGACCTAATAGGCAGAAATACTACAGAAAAGTTAAAAATAAAAAAAGTGCCATGCAGTTTATCGGTTGTTGGAGGTCAGAAGAGGGAAGGGACCTCACATGTGCATGATGTCTGGGGTCCTCTCCCTCCATCTTTCTACTTAAGCTCCCGCGAGTTGGGAGACCGTACACATCCATGGTAACGTTTCATATTTACGACACCATTGTGAGGTATCCATGGTGAATGGTACCACCTCTTATGTTTACGTAAGGAAAGCACCAGTGTGGGATATGTGTGTAATCCATATTTTTAGCATATTTGATACACAATAGCTCTACAACATAGCCATCACTTTAATACATCATACACGGAAAAGAAGGGCCGAGCTTCCGTGGTTGAGTGTGTTCTTAGCATGCACAATTCTGTGGATTCACTCTCCAGCACAACCACTCACCCCCCAAAAAAAAGTTGAATGAAGGATGTAACTTTCCAAGGCCAGCACAGGTTTACACATTTATCTATTACATATTATATATTGTCAGGCATCATATATGACATTTTTACTTACTGCTTCAAATAGCGATAGTTTGATTTTTACCTGCCAGTAATTGTTCCTTATAGCACAACACAAAACTCTGAGTGTTCAGCCTAAAGGGGCAAGATCCCTGGAATAAATTCTAACTCAGAGACTTCAGAACTGAGGCTATTTTTGTTAATTCAGCAGTCTGTGGGTATGGAAGAAATCTTTTTATGCTTGATTTTTGAATAATAATATATTCTGTTTTAGTATATACAAAAATGGTTTTGTTAACACACATCACTGTTACAGTAATAATTTTTTTTAATGAATGATTGTTACATACTATTTTCTTTCCAGGTGCCAAATTAACTGGATACATGAAAATGCTTTTCAAAGCCATCCTCAGCTGAGCACACTTGTGTTAACTGGAAACCCCCTGATATTTGTGGCAGAAACAGCACTTAGTGGGCCCGAGTCACTGAAGCACCTATTCTTAACCCAAACAGGACTATTCAGCCTTGAGTTTATCCCAGCACACAATCTCAAAAACTTGGAAAGTTTGTATCTTGGAGGCAACTATATTTCCTCAATGAAATTTCCCAAAGACTTCCCAACAAGGAACCTAAAAGTCTTGGATTTTCAGAATAATGCCATACACTACCTTTCTAGAGAGGATATGGACTCTCTGAGAGCAACTACCAACCTGAGCCTTAACTTCAATGGCAATGACATTAAAGGCATTGAGCCCGGGGCTTTCAAGTCAATGGTCTTCCAAAGTTTGAAATTTGGAGGGACTGTTAACTTGTCTGTTATATTCAGCGGTCTGCATAATTCTACTATTCAGTCTCTCTGGCTAGGGACATTTGAGGATACTGAAGACCAAGATCTGAGTTCGAGCATGCTTGAGGGGCTTTGTGAAATGTCTGTTGAGAGCATGAACCTGCAGAAACACCATTTTTCTGATCTGTCTTCGGCCACGTTTCAGTGTTTCACCCACCTCCAGGAACTGGACTTGACAGCTACCCACTTGCAAAAATTACCATCTGGGCTTAAAGATATGCACTCCCTGAAGAAATTAGTTCTCAATGTAAATAAGTTTAACCAATTATGTCAAATCAATGCTGATAGTTTTCCCTCCCTCACACACCTCTACCTCAAAGGCAATGTAATAAAACTCCAACTCGGTGCTGGCTGTTTAGAAAAATTAGAAAATCTGCAGACACTTGATTTAAGCCATAATGATATTGAGGCTTCTGATTGCTGCAATCTACAACTCAAAAATCTGTCCCACTTGCAAAGCCTAAACCTGAGCTACAATGAGCCCCTTGGTCTCAGGAATGAAGCATTCAAAGCATGTCCTCGGCTAGAACTCCTGGACTTGGCCTTTACTCACTTACATGTTAATGCTCCACAAGGTCCTTTCCAAAACCTTCATCTCTTGCAGGTTCTGAATCTCTCTCACTGCTTCCTTGATACCAGCAATCAGCATCTTTTAGCAGGCCTGGAGAATCTCCGGCATCTGAATTTACAGGGCAATCACTTTCAAGATGGGAATATCCCAAAGACCAACCTATTTCAGATGGTAGGAAGCTTAGAGATTCTGGTGTTATCCTCCTGTGATCTCTTTTCCATAGACCGGGAAGCCTTCCACGGCCTTGGAAATATTGTTCATGTAGACTTAAGCCATAACAACCTGACATCTGATAGCATCAATGCCCTCAGCCAGTTTAAGGGCACCTACCTCAATCTGGCCACCAATAGCATTCGCATTATCCCACCCCATCTCCTTCCTACCTTGTCCCAGCAGAACATCATTAATTTAAGTCACAATCCCTTGGATTGCACTTGCTCAAATGTTCATTTTTTAACATGGTACAAAGAAAATGTGCAAAAACTGGAGGACTTCAAGGAGACCAGGTGTGCATATCCCCCATCGCTACAGGGAGTTCAGCTATCTGATGTCACACTGTCCTGTGGGATTACAGCTGTGAGCATCTTCTTTCTGACAGTATTTTTGTTCTTGTTGGCTGCTCTTCTCCTCTATACAGTTAAATTCTTTCTCAGGTGGAAATATCAACACCTTTAGTGTCAAAGGCTTCCAGAGAAGACAAATAAATTTGTTTAGGAAAACACATTTTTGTGGAGAAACTGGAATCTCTTAGTGACCAGACTTCTCATATTGGTTCCTGGTGCTGGGCTAGAAATGATTGTGCTTTTCTGAACTTCCTACCCTTGAAACCCTTCCATGGCAGATAAATTAACTCAAGCCAAAACCCAGACACTTGTGAGAGACATAGAGCCATTTCCTTGTGTGGAAGGTGGGCGGAAGATGAGGAGGAACAACCCACCATGGGACCATCTGCTTTGCTTGATCTAACATCCCTCCCGACACTTCCCACCCTGTCCATTTTAAATGGAAAGAGGAAAATACAATTAATTTTAAAGAAAAGACTAAGAAATGAATCCTTGGTTTTCTAAGGCTTTTATAATGCCCCTAGCATGCAAATAACTACAAAAAGACCCCCCTTCAATATCCCCAAGGTTTAAAATTTCACTGGCCTCATACACTTCTCCACCCAGGAGGCTCTCAGCTGCCTATTGGGTATTCTGGCTTTTATGTTGCAGGTCCAACTTACAGGTGAAAAAATACTCCTTTCATTGGGTATCTGGTTCTTACAAGTTGCTTTCCCATGGGAACCATAAGATAAATGGTGGTTTCGTTCCTAGGCTGGTTCTCAAAAGCCTCTTTAACTTGGAGGGCATTCAAGAGAGCATGTTCACAATGGAAACCAGTGGAAGAAACCATCCCTACAGAGCCACTGTTGGGAGCACAAGAATGACAGCTTCCTGAAAAGTTTTTTTTTGTTGAGGCTGAAGTTGTCAGCAAAGGTTGTGCCAGTGGTAGACTGAGGACAGTGCCATTGAATGGAAATGGACAGAGAGGACAGGGAAGCTGGTAATGATGTAGACCTTCTCAAGGCCTAGAGGAGCTCTACTCCTGCAGGACTTGATTTTCTCAAGTCTGGATCGCTAAGCAAGCTTGCTGGGAACTCCTGTGCTTTGTTGCTGTGTGGACAGCCTCCCTCATCCTCTGCATTCATGGATTCAAGCAACTGTGGATGGACAATATGTGGAACAGATCCACCATATATACTGAATATATATGGAGTTTTTTTCACATCATTTATTCCCTAAACAATACAGAGCATTTGCATTGTCTTGCGTATTATAAATAATCTGGGAACGATTTGAAGTACAGAGGAAGATGTGTAGGCTACATGCAAATATGCCATTTTATATAAATGCACATCTGAAGATTTTGTTATCCATAAAGGGTCCTGGAATCAACTCCCCTATGGAAACCAAGGGATGATTGTATAGGCCTTGCTAAAGAGCTACCACTAATTTTAGGTTAGAGATGTTAATTTATAATTCTGAAATTCTGATTGGATATTAAAGTAAAAATTGCTCCAATGTAATACCCAGTCAGACTTTATTAGCGCTTAGGTGGGAGCATAACGGGGGAGGGGGATATTATCATAGGGTGGAAATGTGAAAATCACTTTCCTCTTTGTCTCTTTTTCTCTCTCAGAAAAATCAATACAGGCTGAGCACCAGCTGTGGTGAGCCTCTTTCCCTCTCAGGATGTCAGGCCTTTGCACTTGCTCTCTCCTTGGCCTGGAAGGCTCTGCAGTCTCCAAAGGAGAGTCCAGTGCCTGTGTTTCCTCCTCTAGGAGGAGCTCTTCCCTCACTTAGCCAATACAAATCAAATTACGCCACACCCAGCACACTCTAGAACCTTCATCGTCTTTAAATGTTTATCAGGGTATGGGATTATCTTCCTCCCTTGCTTCAATTTCTCTTGTCCTGTCTCACAAGCAGGTCTTTGCCCAGTGGTGTCCTAGAACATACCTGGGACAAATAAGGACTCAGTATATCTTTTGTTTTGTGACAGGTTCTCACTGTGTAGTTGAGACTGACCAGGAACTCACTATGTAGCCCAGGCTGGTCTTGAACTCCCAGTGATGCTCCTGCCTTAGCCTCCCGAGTGCTGGGATTGCAGGTGTTCACAACCACACCTGGCTAGGACTCAGTACATCTTTAATGGTTGTTGGCATTTTTGCCTGGCCTGTGACCCCTTAGCCTTTACCAGCACCTACTTCTGCCCCTGTGCTCACACCCACCTCACCTTATCTTCAGTCCACATTGCCAGTGTCCCTGGGCCTCCCATGTTTCTTATCAGAATTTTCAGGAGAATTTGCAAAAAGTGAATTCTTAGGCCTTAAGCCAAGAAAGTGAGAGTTGGTTGGATGGAAGTTGCTCTGCTTCTCAGCCTAATGATTGATTCCATTTAAGTCCTTTCTTACCCTCAACAGTAAGTTTTATTTCTTCTACTCTCATTTCAGAACACAGAAGTTCCACAAGCTAAGAATCCAGTCTTAGTCAACAGCAACTCATTTTGTTTCTTCTGTATTCTGTTTTTAAACTAGAAATGGAAAATGCTAATTGCTGACCCTACCACCCTACAGCCGTACTGTCCTGGATAATGTTTAATGTGTAATTTGGAAACTCAAAAACATTCTGTAGAAACTCTCAGATGCAGGTTGCTTCACACAAAAGATAATAAAGGTTTAAGCCTTAGCAACATAACTGTTCATCTTGCTTTCATTTATCAGGCATGCTCCCTTTCCACGTGAAGTAACTTGCTGTTCCATAACTGTACGCAGATCTAAGGCTTTGTGACGGCTCTTCTGTTTTAAGCAACAGTAAATTCACCCCACAAAGTTAGAAAAGGAGCTTTTTGATGGCTGCTGTCAATTTTATTGCTTTATCTGGTTACTAGGATAGAATCTGTAGACATGGTGTGTTTATTGGTTTTATGTATTGCATGTTGTTGCTGCTCTGACAAGCTACTCCTATAAAAATGTGTTATTATAGCATGATGTAGCTCAGTGAGCTGACCCTGCATTTCAAAGTGTACTGAAGCAAATAGCTTTGAAGTCCATAAAAACTGATGGGTCTCCATCATAGAGGACTTTCAGCCCAAACTGCAACTCCTACCATCTGGGAAAGAATTATAACTTCCCCTTGCCAGCCACCACTGCTATTGAGTACAGCTCAGTCCCAAACACAAGCATTACCTGAAAAATGCCAACATAGAAAACTTGTATTATTCTTACTTGTCCAACTCTCTGATAAGTACTGATTATGGAATAACTGGCTTTTTAATGTTTTCTCATACTAGAATATTACAGGAAAAATTGACAGTGTTTCTATCTGCTCAGAATACTGAAGAGATACTTAACATGAATTGCAGCAAGAGTGGATGTGGTTCATTCCAAGCAAGCCAGACCTGGGAGTCAATTGTCTGCTACACTGAGTTTCCTAGTTTCCTTTCTTAGTATATTACTTAACTTCAGTCTTTGATTGTTCATTTTATATCTTCCTGATATAGCGATGAACATATTCGTTGTTTGCTTGACTTTTTATTATGAATGAGGACATTCATACTAGACATAATGTGTAACATAGGTATAAAGAATAAAACCAAAATAGATACCTGTACACCAATTTTTTAAAAAGTTTGGCTGGGGATTTAGCTCAGTGGTTCTGCTGCCTGCCTCGCAAGCGCAAGGACCTGAGTTCAATCCCTGCCCCCTCAAAAAGGTTGAAAGTCTAACATAGCAGGAGCTTGGTGAAGGTGGTGGAGGAATGGAATAGCTTGGTGTGGGTCCCAAGCTCAGCTGAACACCATAATAATCTGGAGAATTCTTTACAAAACAGATGCCTGGGCCCCATCTCTAGACACTGGAATTCTGGTAGACTGGGGCTGGCTGGCTTTGGTGCCTCATCCAATTGATCTTATGTAAAATTCTTCCCTTTCCTAATTAATTTTGTCAACCAGTAGCAAAAGAATGAGGAATTCCATGAATCAAATGAGCTAAGTGTCTTCTCCATACCCCACAGAGGAGACGTCTTAACAAAAGTGGGACAAGATTTCTAAGGAACCCTCAAATCCAGGGATGAAACACCCCGTGCAGGTGATCGCCTGCCATGGCTGCCAGGCTGCAGGCCTCTGCTCTAGGAACCACCCTGCTCTGCCCCGTGCCTTGATTGTGTCCACTACATGCTAGCAATTTACATTTTGAAGTTGTTTAGTGGACATTATGTGTCTTAAAGAGGAAATAACCTATGATTTGTATTTAAAAACTTATTGCTCATGAAAGTTTAAGCAGTGGCATTCACCGAAGACCCTCTCCCACCCTCTTCACACCGAGTTAATGTCCTGTGAACCCTTGACTGTTCAAAATACAGTGCTACATCCTGCAAAGGTAAGCAGACGACAAATGGCCACTGCGGCATCATCCATCTCCTCCTTTTCATGTTGGTTCTTGGGCTTTCTAAATAGCTGGGGCCTTCCCATTTCTCTGTCTTCCTTAGAAACAACCTAATTATACAGAAATAAATAAGTGATTAAATAAATTAGGCAATGCTCAGAACACATAGGGAGGTATTTCATGTTCTTAGCTGGAAAACAATGCTGTAAATATGTCAATGGTCAGAGAAATACACAGTAAAATGAGATAAACTTTATTAGACTGATAAAAAGGAGCCAGGTGGCTAATAGTGTAGCTAGGGTTGTAGAAGCTGTGTGGCCTGCTTCTAGGGATGTTTACTGGTACAGCCCTTCCACGGCTACTGGGCAAAAAGCTGCTCTGAAACTGTATGGCAAAAAAAGTTTCACATGTCTGCAAAAGTTTTCATTGTAGCATTAGTTTTAGCGGAGAAAGTTCATAGCGTTCGGTCATCTCTAAGAAGAAATGTAGGCAAAATGGGGAAAATGCCCAATACAGGGTACTATAATGTAGTTAGAAACAATGGACCAAACAGAGCCATACTTGAATCTTAAACATTGTTTAGATCTTTAGGCTATTTAGAAAGAAAATCTTTCAGCTATTTAAATTTAGCAGAATTTGAGTGAGGAAGGATTTGTGAACTAAACACATTCTGAAGCAGTGGAGGGTTAGAGAGCTGCACCCAGCAATATGGACAGCAGGATTTATAAACAGAAAAAGGAAATGACATACAGAAAAATCTTGATTTGTTACAGCTCTGTATTTTCCTTATTAGAGTGTGGTATGTTGAGGCATTTGCCTTATATGAATATTGTCTGATCATTTGGCTGCCTGTGATTAGCTGCCACTTGATTAACTGGAACTCAGCTGTTACATGAATATACACTTAAGTAAGGTTAAGATTGTTTATATATGAAGTTAGGTTGCAGTTTAGGCATAGAGATAGCTTCAGGGCACATTGAACTTAGATCAACATTCAGAGCTTCATAGGGCAAAACCCCCAAAATTTATTAACATAATCATCTACATAAAGTTTAAAATTACATATACATAAATGATACATGTAATTATTTTGTACATAAGCCTTCTTAATAATATATTTGAAGAAGACAAACCAAAAGAGACAACTACTAACAATCATAATTGCTTAGGTGATGCAGCGGGGTGGAAGAGAATATCAGGTTGGAGTAAGTGAACTCAGCCAAGTTCCATCTGCCAAGATCTGAAGAATAAGATGACCTTTATCATCCATACCTGAAGATCTCTAACACACACACACAAGCAAATAATATGACAATGGCCAGGGATTTAGCTCAGTGGTTCTGCTGCCTGCCTTGGAAGGTCCTGAGTTTGATTCCTGGTATCCCCCCAAAATAATAATATGACACACACATAGGATGAAATGTCATACAATCATTGTAATTAATATTGCCGAATATATTTATAGACATTGAAGCATATTTGTGTTTTAATAGTCAAGCAAAAGAGCCACTTGTTAAACAGCATGATCACCATTTTTTTATTTTTAAGCAAAATAAATAATACCTATAAATTAAAAACTGATGGGGAGTTGAGATTGCTGTGATTCAATATTGTTTCTTCTTGCTTATTTACATTTCGAATTTTCCTTAGATACATTTTCCATGTAAGGTCAATAAGGGTAAGCATGTTCATTGATTTTTTTAAGGAAGATTTCTTTCTGAAAAGTTATACGAATAAAAAGGTCATGGGTTCAAAAAACGGGGCAATTACTGGGAAAGGAGGCAGTGTTTTTCCTAAGGGTTTGTTTTCAAATGCAAATGATCAATCCAACCTCTAGGGGGCACACTTTTCCTCCAGACGGCAGAAGGCGTCAAAGTTGTTCAAGGATCCCCAGGGAAATGGGGCAGGCAGTGCAAGGAGATGGGGGCCTTTCACAGGAGCTGCTTCCAGTCTCAATGGGGATAGATACATCTCCAACTCGGGAAATTATAGCATGGCACCATTTACCACAGCATATGTATTGCAGAAGGACAGAGCTTTTGGGCCGGGATTTTTATGTATACAACTTCGTGCGTGAGCTGCCAATATGACATATGAAGACTTTGTAGCTGCAACATGCTTGCTGTAGGCCTTGTAAACCTCTTCATTCTTCACGTCCCAGCTGCTGCCAGCCATTTCTGGCAGTGCCTCATGAAATAGAGGATGAATATTTTTATGAGGCTTTCAGTTTCACCATATTAACAGACTTTTTGTGAAGTTCTTTGGGGGTAATAACTTGTAACTATTTGCAACAGGTCTTTCTTCTTCTCACATCTGAGCATAATGGACTGTTTTTTCCGAGAGTGGTCTGGGTACAGGTTCCCTTTTGGAAGGACTTGCCTGTAGACAAGTGTTGGGATTGTTAAATAAAATTTTGGAGAAGGCCAAGGATTTGGACTGATTACCTACACTGGCCCAATTGACCAAAGCAATATGGAGTTTAATCAGAGTAACTGAGCTTTTGCTGAGTGCAGAGAGGCCCTGTAACCACTTAACTGACTGTGACAGGGTGGAGAGTCAACTTGATTGGCTTTGAAATCTGCCTGGAGACTGGTGGAGCACCTTTCTCACGTGTCCTGTTGGGTCAAGGAGGCGTGGCCTCAGGGTCTATATCTGCCC